AGTGTAATCTTGGGCATGGCAATGCCTTTAAGCAGGGACATTCTAAGATCAGAACTCAGCTGTGAAGTGTCAGTTGCCAATTTACTTGGAAGCTGAGGACATAAATACTTCAACCCTTTAAGGCAGATTTGGGTGGTGTACCAAGCAACCATTATACATAGTAACACTATTTCACTCATATGGATGTCAGGAGTACCAAATAAGATACAAGAAAGAGTCTTGTGAGGTGTTATAATAATATGAGTATCACAGCAATTAACAGAGCAATAGGCTACTGACTTTTTGAGTTAATTGGAATATTTTGAAGGTAGTAATCTTTGTATTTTAACTTTTTAATCTCTACCTCTCCCAAAGTTTTACCTAGTTTTCAATAAAAATTGATAAAATTAAGTTACCTATTTGTTGCTCACGGTAGTGGAGTGGGAGGAATGTCAATGTTGGAGCAATGGGGAAACAACCTTCTTTGATGAGAAGGGATGTTGAAAGAAGCCTAATGATTTGAAATCAGGTAAATGTTTACTCCCTATTTCTTTCCATTCCACTATCCACTGAAGACCATGAGGGAGAGCACCAGTGCCCTGCATGCTCCAAGTGAGAACTCCTCACCCCTGAAAAACTTCTTAGAGACCACAAAGGAAGAGTCAACTCATCCTGTCCACTCTGAACAGTCCTCCCATCTCCTTAAAACTTCCATGTTAAACTGTTAACCAAGGTTTCTCTCAAAGACATTCAAAACTGTATGACGGCTGGCATCCTCCCTCATGTTCCCTTTCATTTTGACTTACCAACTATAATATCCATCCTTTAACTGCTTCTTGTTCACCAATCTAAGAAAAATGACATTTTATCCTTTTTCATCACTACTCTTACATCTACATTTCACTCATTGCCCAACTGAGATTCCATGGTCTATCATGTAATGACTCATTCTTAATCACTCTCAATTTCATGGTTCTACTTTTTCTCCATCCTAGTCATCTGTTTAAATCCCAATTTAGTTAAACTTAATTGTTTCTTCTTTCTGCCCTCCACTTAAGCTGCTTAGTGCAATTAGAGAAAATCCCTCAGAACTTCACTCTGTTGCTGATCTTGCCTCATATTTCATCCTCCAAAATGGAAACAATTAAGTAATATCATCCCCATCTTACCACCTCTAAATCTTTATGCATATGCTTTTTCTCCCACCTGTCATAATGGATAATATATCCCTGCTTTCACCTAAGACCAGTTTTTTCACAACTTTGGAGCTTTCCATGAACTTTACCTAAAAAATTATATCTCTACTTTACCCAAGAATCGATTTCTCAAACTCTGCTGGAATATTCTCATTTTTTTACAAACATCATCAGGTATCACTCTTCTTAATAATTTCCTTGGCCTAAAGTCCCATCTAGTCACAAACTTATTTCTCTGCTCCCTTTACAATTAATCTTTCAAATGAACTACCTCTAGTAATTGTTTCTACTTCTTCCAACCCCATAATATATTTCAGTTGTATTTCTTGTCAAAGACACGTGAGATCTTAACACTACTTCATGCAAAGATTGCTCTTCTATCTTACTTTTATTTCATATCTCAGGAGGATTACCGTGGTTAATTCCTTCAGCTACCCAAAATAAAACACGTTTTTAGGTTTCTGTATCACCTTAATCTTCTCATTTTCCTTCTCCTTCCACTGTCATTTCTTGTCAGATAACTTTAATAGCTCTTCCTCCTTCTCGTGCTGGTTTCCAAATCTTGGAGCCAAAGACTTAAATCTTTACATTGGTTCATTAGTACTATGGTTCTCCATCTGTGCCCACTTCTTAGGTGATCTAAGAGGTCTGCAGTGCTCCAGAAATCCATATCTCCAGCTCTGACCCCTCACTTGAGTTCCAGATTAGTATATTGAATTGATAACCTGACATCTAGGGATATTTGACAAAAGGATTTTGATAAAAGGATTAAGAAATTAGCTTTCCTTACTTAGTTATCATACTCATACATCTATAAAAGAATCATACCTGTTACACTCTTAGGAGTATCTGCATCCTAGCATCATACATAATACCCATATGTCATTGGGCTTAAAATATCCTTTTCTGTGTTAAGTAATAAAATATATTTTCTGTTATACTTCCTTAGTTTGTGCTGGGAACAAGAAAATAGACACCTTTTATATCTTTATTTACTCATAATGTTTTCAAAAAGTATTCATTGATATACAGAAAACTGCACATTTTAATGTCTATAATTTGGGCATATGCATACTTCAGTAAAGCTATTAAAACAATATTAATGAAAAACTAGCACGTAACATATATTGGAGATATAACAGGTAAGAAAACTGAAAATGATCTCGTATAACTTATATTCGAGTGAGGAAGACTTCATTGTTTATACCAAATGTGCATATGTGTAGGCATAGTGGTGTGTATGTGTTTGACATGGATATGCGTGGTGCATTGAAGAAAAATAAAGGAGTCAACAAAATAGGGAGTGGTTGCATCAGAGAGGATACTGCCTGCTCCGTAAAACAAATTCACTAAATATTTGTTGAATGAATTAACTAATGAATGCCATGTAAACTGTATTCTAGTCAAAATGAATAGGAATCCTATTTTAAGTGGAATTCTGAAGTTTGGAGGCAGGATTTGACCTATCCTGTAACATTTAATTCAAGGTCATGCTCAATGGAGTCTCAGAATCTTGACATCGTTTTTGCACTTCTCTAAATGTCTAATTTACTCTCCAGGGATTAAGTGGTTCTCTGGAGAGAATGTAGTTCAATTATCAGTGAAAAATAAATGCATATTTTAATTTTGGATTAGCACATTTCAAGCTTTAGACTTTTCAGCATTTTTCAGAGACTAAATCTCAAGAGAATGATCTCAGTTTTAAAAAGGCTGACTTTCTGCCTTGGATTCAGAAGGAGCATTTTCTACTCTTTGTTGAATTAATTAATGATGTATTGATTCTTTCATAGCTTATACCACTTATATTTTCATTGAAGCTATAAATTTCACATTGTATGACAGAAAACTTACATTCCTCCAAAAACCAACAAATAAAACAAAACTAATAAACACCATCACTCCCAGTGAATAATTCTCAAGGACAAAAGGTAGGATGATTCAATTTATCTCAAAATCTTCAAGTACACAAAGTTTCGGAGTGGACTCAAAAAATATTCAAGTAATTAAGACTAAATATTTCAATTGGAATATGTATGTCCTAGACACTGAATTTAGTGTTACCAACTAAATGAACATGGATTTTTTTTAATAAGAGAGGGATTTAAGATCTCTAATAACAGATAGGAATTTTATAGAATAGTCAACATATGCATACACATACATATTGAAATGTACATATAGATGTATATCTATGTCTATGTATACTTATATATGTGTGTGTGTGTGCAGAGAAGGGAACTTTAATGTTAGAAAGGGTACAAAAACACAGCATATTTAAGACCCTCTAAAGGGCATTAAATAAAATAATTTTGTTCTCTTCTATGCAAAAACTGAGAAAATGTCTACAATTTTCAGCCTTCCTCTTGTGTGTGTTCTATGCATATATATAGACATACGTATATACATACACATATGTATACACATACACACATATATAAGATCATATATATCATATAGAATATAATTTCATTTATGTCAATTTATATGTTTGTTAAATATATAATGCAAGTGTGTTTGTGTATATTTGCCTAAAGTAGAGCTCTAAAAAATGGCTACACATTTTTAAAAGTGGTTATTTTATAGGGTACTGTTTTAGCTGATTTTAGAGATAGGAAAAACAGTTGAAAGACTTTTTCTGTCATCTAGGTGAATGGTGGTGGGGATGACAGTTTAGGAGGTAGTTGGATTACTGAAACAGACTTTTTGAAGGTAGAAGCCAACATAATTATCTAAGCGATTGGTTATGGAGGGTGTACAGAAGAGAAAAGAATGATTTCTCTCTTAATTTTTTGTCTGTTTAATTTCATCTGATCAAATGGAAGTATGGAGGTACCATGACTTAAGACAGGCAATACTTGTTTGGAGCAAATTAAGGGAGAGCATGAGGAATTCAGCTTTGGGTTATGTTGAGTTGCTATTTGACATTCATGAGGAGATGTGAGTAAGCAATTAAATTGTAAGCCTGGAGTCTGGAAAAGAGGTCAGGGCTGGAAGTATAAATTCAGGAGTTGTAGGTGTATACATGGTATTTGAAGCCATGAAACTGAATAAGCCCACCAAGGTAGAGTGTAAATAGAAGAGGAAAAGATCAAGAATTGAGCTCTGAGCTACTCCAAACTTAAGAGTCAAAGAGAGAGAGGATGAATAAGAAAGAAGAATGAGGAGTAACCCATATGGTATGAAGAAAAGTCAGAGCCTGGTGTCTTGAAAGATTAAGAGAAGAAAGTCTTTCAAGGAATAGTAAGCAATAAACTCTGTCAAATGTTATTGATAAATCAAAAAGATGAGCACAGAGAATTGACCTCTAGGTTTGGCAAAATAAAGACCTGAATGACTTTTATGAGAACAGCTTCCATGGAGTGATGAGGTGAAAGCCTGATTAGAGTGGGCTTAAGACAAAACAGGAAAAACAGAATTGGATACAGCAAATACATTTAACTGTATCAAGTGTTGAATTGCAAAAGCAAATGCAAGGGATTGGATGATAAGTGGTGAAGGCAGAAAGATCAAGGGGGGAGAAGAAAAGAGCTGGGAGTTACAGTAGGATATGGATCAGTAAGGGTTGATCATTAAAGACCTTACACACACACACTCATTTTTAAATAAAATAGATTACTGTATTTACTTAAGAGATCTCGTCTTTTTTTTACTATGATAAGAAAATAAAGAAGTTTAATACACGTTATCAAGACATCTTAGAAGTAAACTTACTTATAGCAAAAGAAGAACTGCTCGATTTTTCTAGCTTCTTTTTTTTTTGTATAATTTATTTTCTTGGTTTCTTTCTTACCCTAACACAAAGGTCATCTATTCTGAGATAATGGTATGAGCAACCTCACAGCAGTGACTGAATTTGTTCTCCTGGGATTCAGAAATTATCCAGAGCTACAGTGCCTTCTCTTTATGGTGTTTCTAGTCATCTATATGATCACTCTTTTTGGAAATCTTGGCATGATCCTATTAATCAAGATCGACTCGCGTCTCCACACTCCAATGTACTTTTTCCTGAGTAACTTGGCCCTTGTTGACTTCTGTTATTCTTCTGTCATTACTCCTAATATGCTGGTGAATTTCTGGGTGGAGAACCCAGTCATTTCATTTAATGAATGTGCCACTCAATTCTTCTTTTTTGGTTCCTTTGCTGGCATTGAGGGCTTCCTGTTGGCCGTGATGGCCTATGACCGTTACATGGCCATTTGCAAGCCTCTCCTTTACACAGTCACTATGTCCCCTGATCTTAATGTCCTCCTGGTGTTGGCCACATATCTTGCAGGCTTTATAAATGTTGCCATTCACACTAGGCTCACCTTCCAACTGTCCTTCTGCCGCTCAAATATCATCAACCACTTTTTCTGCGACACTCCACCCCTCCTGAGACTCTCTTGTTCTGACACACATGTCAATGAGGTTTTCAATTTTGCTTTTGCCAGTTTTAATGAACTGAGCTGCCTCCTGACTATTGTCATTTCTTATCTCTACATCCTCATTTCCATATTAAGGATCCAGTCTGCTGAGGGGAGGCACAAAGCCTTCTCCACATGTGCTTCCCACTTGATGGTGGTCACCATATTCTTTGGCACAATCCTGTTCATGTATCTGCGCCCCAGTTCCAGCTACTCAATGGAGCAAGACAAAGTGGTATCTGTGTTTTATACAGTGTTCATTCCCATGTTAAATCCTTTCATCTATAGTCTGAGAAGCAAGGAAGTTAAAGCTTCCTTAGGTAAAATTTTTAAAACAACCTCGTTTTACTTTTGTACTTAGAATCATCAAAGCATGGGATTTGAGAATTCTGATGGAACTTAGAAATGACCAAACCCACTTCCATTGACACTGGCTTCATTTCATTATGTCATATGATTTTTGGATAGTGGAGCTGGACAAACCGTCCTAGGCACCCTGGGGAATAAGATCACTTTGTATACATCCCACTTATTCCACACAACATCTATACTTGAAAATAAACAAATATCCCATTTCATTTCCTCATTCAGAAGTATAAAACCCAGCACAAAATTGCTGAGGCCCAGCCCCATGGTTGTGTGGTTAAATTCCATGCACTCTGCTTCTCTGGCCCAGGTTTGCAGGTTCAGATCCCAGGCGTGGACCTACTCCATTCATCAGCCATGCTGTGGAGGAATCTTGTATACAAAATAGAGGAATATTGGCATGGCTGTTAGCTTAGGGCTAATTTTCTTCAAGAAAAACAGGAGGAGGATTGGTGAGGGATGTTGGCTTAAGGTAAATCTTCCTCACCAAAAAAACAAGGTAGCTGAGGCAGGAAAAGACTGAGTGGCAGGAGGAATGACCCTATTTTCTTCCCTGTTCCATCACTCTACTATTAGAGGTAGCATATGTAACTGTCAGAGGACAGGCAATAAGGAGTAGGCCGAGCCAGAATATGGCCAAAGGACTAAAACAGGGCTTAGAGACTCCCTCTTGTTCCTAGTGAACTAGAGAGAAATACCAGAACTAAATCCTGGTAGAGGTGCTGAGGTCAAGTGTTTCTTACCTGGACAAATCAGGTAGACCCCTGAGAGCATAATGGGAACCAATCACAGGGTATATATGAGGGGGAACCAAAGAGCAAAGACACCAAGGATCAAGGAGTGGAAATTTCTGTGGTTTAGAAAACAGGAATTCTTCATAATTCCTGAAGATCAAGTGTCATGTTGTTTGATCTTTGAATGGGTAAGCAGTTTATACTTAAAGAGCTAGAGCAAGATGGATATCCTTTCCATAACATCTTAGCAAATAACCATACATACCTATTTTACTGCTGGCTGCATGTTGATTGGAACAAGTTTAAAGCTTTCCATCAGTTTGACTGATATTTTCATAAGTGGGATATTTCCCCAGTAGGACTGGATTTTCTTTAAAGACAGTGACCACTGACATCTGAACATAAAGTGTTTTAAACTGGTTAGGAATCAGTAAAATATACTAAATATGATCCTAGTATATCCCTTTCTCATCTTAAGATTGATTGTCATCCTCATAGAAAAGTAGCCAGTTAAAAGAGACTAAGGAATAATTTTGCTTTCAGCTACAGTCTATGATTTTTTATAAGAAATTAAACCCAGAACTTATCATTTAATACTCCCTTTTCTGCTTTTCAGTCATTGTATATTAAAAAGGCATAATTTTCTTGCTTATCCAATGGTCTTTGTCCATCTTACAGTTGTTGTTATAAAGAGTTCTTCATATTTTAGACACAGCACAAGTATTATCCCCTTTATGTTTGTCCCTGGCCCTCCCTTGACCTTCCTAAAGCAAACAGTTACACATCACCATTTGTGTAATTCTAAGGATATTGCAACACTAATCAAACTTTACTCACAGAAAAAATCATAAAAATGCAGTGTAATGCTTTCCAACATAGACTGAGTGCTCCTTGAGAAAATAAACCTCTTTGCATCTATCTTTATATTTCCATGCTTCATAGCAGGCCATCAATAAAGGTTTTAGAATTAAGAAAGAATCATTCCAGTGGAAGACACAGGGAGAAGGAAGACAAAGTGTTGCTTCTGGCATCTGGAACTGAAAGTATTCAATAACCAAAATTTCAAAAAGTCAATATTAGAAAATAAAAATTACCTTATACCTGGCTGGATATTGTTCTATTCTTTTTAAAACAACCTGTACTATCTTCTTTGAAACTAAACATTTTAATAAACAGATGATATTTCAGAGTCCTGTGTCTTTCATTTTGCATAAAATAAATGTGATTTCAACGTATAGTAATAGTACCTTTTCAATGAAGGAACACAATAATGGATTCAAACTAGCACAGCCCTGGAATACTCAGTACCACCATATCTTTCCGTCTTTCTCTCTCTTTATCTCTTTGTCTCTCATTTCCTCTCTCATTAGGGATTCACTTATTCTCTTTCACAGACTTTTCACATGATAGCCTCACATTTGTATAGTTTAGACTGACTGCATCACAGGTAAGTCTCTTTCTCTTTAGAAAGGACAGCTGTTGCCTGAAATTGTTAACATGCAAAGAACATGATCTGCTCACCATGACACAAAATCCAATCATCAAGAGGCAAGATTGTGGCAGAGAAAGAACGTTTATTACATCCTGCTTGCAAGGGGGATAATGTCTGGCTAATGTCCAAAAGAATCATCTTAAGGAGGGCACAGAATCTTGAAGCAGTTATATAGTCCATTGGGTTACAGGGGTGTGGGTTAGGAAGGTTGACCCTCTGGTGTTACAGACTGGGAGTGGCCACACTGGATAGACTCTTTATCCAGGGGTCATCACATTCCTAAGGAAGTCAAAAGAACAAAGTTCTTGTCTTATTGCAACTGGGAGGTACATGCATAAGCAGGGATCATTAAATCTACAGAGCAGTTAGATCTCCTGAGGGTGCCTATCCAGCTGGATCAGTTAGTCAGAGGTCATTCAAAGTTACAATATGGTTTCTTTTCTACAATATGGCTTCCCTTATGTCAACCTTGTGTTGAACGGCTATCAAAATGGCTCATGATTTCATTGTATGTAGGTGTGCGGGGGTATGTATGTATCTGCATGTGTGTATATGTTGGTGGTAAGGGTGGGGTCGTGAATTGTCAGAAGAAATCTTGCTCTACAGTAGCTACTGCATTCCACTGTACATTTGCTCAGTAAAATTAACTTCCTTTCTATCCATTGCTCATTTAATTTGCAAACCCCCGGTGTAAGCAGCCTTGCTGTATGCTGTTTATACCTCAACAAGAATGTTACAACTAATGTTAACTCTATTTGTAGATGGGTTAGATGTTTTTCCATGTGACGCAATTTGTGGAATCCTTTTTTCAAGCATATTTGCAATACTGCCTATCATAGTGCCTAGAATTCAGCTGATAGAAAAATACAAGTATGTTTGGTGATTTCAGCACACTGAGTTGCAATGCTGACCAACATTATGTTAAAAGTGATTGGCTCGAGATCGCTTTTCACATAATGAAATGGTCAGGATCCATCCAACTAGCAGATTAAAATCATTACAATTTGGCTTATTAAGCCTATGTGGGGGAGGAAGACAAATCCTCTACCCTCATGGTCCTTCTGACTAGGCTATGAATTAAATTGACATGAGACAGAATAAGAGGAGAAAATCAAAGAAGCTTTATAACATGTATACATGAGAGAAACTCAGGAAAACTGAGCAATTCAACAAAATGGCTTAGCTGCCAGCTTAAATATTACTTTCAGCTAAAGGCAAAAAAGGATGTTGGGGGTAGTGCTTTGGGATTTCAGAGGGGATGAAAACAATTTACACAGAGATGGAAATGCAAATATTTGTTAAACAAGTTTTGCTGGGCCAAAAATGGGCTTGTTGGTGCATTTTTATCACAGCTATTTTACATTATACGATAGCTATCTTGTGGTATTAACTCCTTCCAGGAACAAGTGTTCTATGTTAAATTCTTTTAGACAGTTTGGGGGAAGGTCAAATGTTCTTCCTGAGTTTTCTGAGCTTTTATTGTCTTCAGCTCAAAATAATCCCCATATCAGTGATGCATCTTGGGAAGGCCTGCCCCCCAACACCTGCTTGCTGACTGCTTATTCTAATCTATTTAAAATCAAAACCCACAAGCCAGAAGCTTCCTAGTCTGTTTGTAATTGTTACACAGAAATGTTTGAACTAACTACCAGCCAGACCCTCCTTATGGGATAGAAAGTTAGGAAAATATCAGGCCGTAAGTCATTACAGAAGACATGACATTTAAACTAAAACTTGGAAAACGCAACTCTTGCTCCTTTGGTTTTTCTATGGTTCCTAGATTTGAGATTTCATGTGCTTTTGCCTTTATGCTTATATCAGACTGCCTGATAACATAAATATCATCTTTGACTATTATACTAATCATTTAGTGTGCCTGATTCTCAAAGAAAATGCAATTTGTGTGATGGATAGATTTTTAAAATTAATTGGCCCCATCAGCCTGGGTAAAAACTCTTTGGGGCTGTATCTCCACAGAGAAAGCCCATAAGTAGTTAGCTTGGCAAGCCCTATTAATTGCTTAAAACTCTCCTTCTGACTACTTCATTTCCATCTCACCCTCCTCCTTCCCCTCCTTTTCCTCCTGCTTCTTCTCTCCTCCTTCTTTTCCTGCCTTACCCCTACCCTGTCCCACACTTCAGTGATGTTGGGAACAAAAACGGGCAAGAGATGAAAGATACACCATGGCATAGCGGTTAAGTTTGTGTGCGCCACTTTGGTGGCCTGGGTTTGCAGGTTCCTGGAAGCAGACCTACACACTACTCATGAAGCCATGCTGTGGCACCATCCCACATACAAAATAGAGGAAGATTGCCACAGATGTTAGCTCAATGACTGTCTTCCTCAAGGAAAAAATAAAAGAATAAAAAGATAAACCATGTGGCTTTCTACATTCCATTCTTGAATTAATTTGTAAAAAAACACTCTAGTGAAGAATGTATTTGAGGAAAACTTTAGCTTTCAGTGTGTAAGCTTTTGGTGTGCATTAATCTATAGTACAAAGAGCCCTTATAATATTGTGCCTTGCATTTTTCTTTTTAAATCAGTACCTCAGTATTAAAAAAAGAAGTGCATAATTTGATCTTCTTGACGCTAAGGGAAGCAAAATTTATCTTTAAATCATCTTTATGGAGGTAAATTCACTCTCAATAAAATGTAGAAATTTTAAATGTACAATTTAATGCAGTTTGACAAATGTGCATAGCCACTTGGTCACAATTCCAGTTTTCAAGGTTACTGTGCATCTGGGGAGAGGACGTGGGAATAGCA